CGTTCAAAGAACACGTCCAACGACTGGTGACTGGCAAATTGGGAACATGTAAACAATTTCTAGGATGCTAAGGCTATTGACGCATGAGCACTATAACAGGTGCACCGCAATAATAATATTCACGGTCAACAAACAAAATAATCAATCGAAATCTTCGTACCATAATTTGTGCCCTTTCTTGATTTTTGAAATTCAACGTTATTTTGTTTCTTAAGCTAAGGTGATACAATACCTTTTGAATAACTTTTTTTTGTCGTAGCTCCCTCGCTGTATATTACGATATGGGTCCACAAGTCACTAAGCTCACAAAGAAGCTTTTGTTGGCTGCAAGCTTTTGTTCGCTGCGTTTTAAAGTACCAACTTCGTAGTTTATGTATAAACACTAACCTAGAACGATTGATTCCCTGTATCTGACAAAAAATCTCCAATTAGAATTTTGTGTGCTCCACTTTTAAGTGACAGATTGAGTTGGCGCGTAGAAACCCAACACGGAACCCCGCGAATGAAATTTTCTCCTGTTTTCAGGCGCTAAGGTTTTCATTTCGCCATTTGTTCTGCAGCCTAAGCTCCTTGCATGCTAAGAAGAAACGATTGTGTTTAATAATAGTTTGTGGCCCGCTGATGAAGTAATCACCCAAAGAATACGAATGACAAGTGCATGTGACGTGGTCAGATCGATTTGCGAAGAACTCCTACCGAGAACAGGAAATTCAATGCCCATAGAGGTACTTTGATGTGTATTGGACCCCTCAAGTTACGGAGCCCTCAATAAAAAGATCCATCTTGTCTTTGCATGTGGCCTTGCCGCAGCTGCAACGTGATTGGACAGCGAATGACACTTGAGGTGGGTATATGGAAATTCCAAGTTGTTAAGATCAATCTGTAAGAAGAGCTATCTATCGTGGTATTGTTTTCGGTGGTGAGAAAGAAAGTAAGCTAAGTGTGGCTTATTCTAAGTTCGATAATAAAAGATCGCAAGAAAAACTCGTGAAAAGCTGTTCGATGATCCAATTTAAGACAAATATCGGCAATCGTAGGAATAAAAAAGTCAAATACCAAACAGATGATCCGAGAAAATTAAAACATTTAAGATCGCGATTGCTACTTACGATAGAAGAAATCCAAATTCATGAAGGAAAACAATATTTATACTAATAGTTTATTTGGATTGACGCTTTGACAATTTGAAGTTGACAGTTACAATATTTTTTGTATGATTTATTCATTATTTCATTCATTTATCTTTTTCCATTTCGTGCGCGGCATTGCTTTATTGGGATTTAACTATACAGATCTATTTACTCGTCAAATTTTATACCTCGGTCATTTTTTTTTTTTTTTTTTTTTTTTTTCATTTTTTTTTTTTTTTTTTTTTTTTTTATTCCATAATTTTTATTGGTACAGTTTATTAGGTAAAATAGAATGAAATTTAATGGAAAAATTATGGTGTAATTCGCCAAAATGGTTTTAGCAAATTAAGAAATTACAAATTAAACTAGAATTATGCCAGGATATGAATTACGAATTAGGCACAAATAAATAGTCTTTCATTGTGGCGAAAGACTCTTGAAAGACTCTCTGGATATAATGAAAAGAGGACAATCCTAGTTCGAAGAACGGAACAGAATACACAACGCGAAAACACATCGTTGGTGGATAATTTTAAGTTTCTATTTTTAAAAGTAAGCGTATCCATTCTTTCTTCGCCTGTCAAATCGCTTGAAGTATCTAAAGAAAAGAGCTGATGAATTACTTCTTCACCTGCAAGTTTTCGAAACAATAGAAGATGAAGCAGAAAGGGGATAACGACAAGATTAAGGATTATAACGAAACTTGAAGCTTTTTAGGTCTGTATTCAATAGATCCGACTAGTTTTGCACCTGTAGTAGTGCTCAGCAGGGGAGAACGGAGAAACTATCTTCATCAACCTCGTTATCTCTGTCTCCGACTATGGATTGGGCTTATAACAGTGATAACACTGAGCGCTGACTTGTAATTTAGTAATTTTGTTTGGTACGTTCAACCTAGTGTACGCCAAAGAAACAACCTATTTGAACTTGGCTATGGATAATTCTTCAAATATGATTGAGTACACGCGATGTAATCATGGTAACTAATTGTTTTGTCGAAATATTAGGCGTTGTAAAGCGTGTTGTAGTTAAACATTTGTGCATAAGCTCTCCGCATAGTAAAGAAGTGAATTAACACTGACGTTCCATACAAATTTAGATTCATTTCTCGTAGAATATCGGCTCAAAAATACCCACGCCCCCTCGTCTTCAAGGTGCACCGCACGTAATTTATCAAGAAAGAAAGCAAGAAAGTGCAGCTCGTGTGGGGTGAAGTAAACTCTGCACAAATTCTGCGAAATAGATATAAATTCTACCTTATCTTAATGGTGTCAAAATCGCAGACTCGTACCCAGTCGTCATTTGTTTCACGCTTTTTTGCGCGCGGTGGCTTTTGGCTTCGTTTTTCTCTTCCGTCCTTCTCCTGATGCACCGGGAAATCACTGAATCGTTCCCATCAACCACAGCGTGGGATCAACAAGACGAGAAGCGACTGGGTACGAGTCTGTCAAAATCGTGTGTAAATGTTTTCATTCTTAAATTTACAAATTGTGACGTCATCGAAGCTATCTTGTCCAAGCGAGTATCTTTGATTTGGTCATTTTAAACTAACTAGGCTCAGCATCAGGTGTACTTTTTGGCCACTCTATTTCAGTCCTATGACATAATGAATGCGAAGTATATCAAGGAAAACTAGTAATGAAAATTAGATTTACGTGACGGCCGATTTTGTAATTGTGGTGTGAAAATTCTCCCGCCATTCGCTGGATGCTACGTACCTCGCAGGGTTTCCACGGGTAAACGTCAAATAATTGCAAGCCATGGCCAAAAACGATAGCGAATCAGGGGAAGAACTGAAATTTTTGCGAAGCGTGATCGATCGTGAAGCGCCGCATTTTTGGCATCTTTCGTAAAGCATAACGAAGAGAGAACAGAAGAAGAAAAGGCGGAGATAGAAGAAAAGTTTTAAAAAGAGCTACGGGTTGATAGAATAGAAAGACAACTGATGCCTGTGCACTGCGGTGAACCGATTTAAGGCTTTAGCCTTTTCACGCTTATTCTTGACTGCATACCGGTTATTACAAGTTTTTTCTCTGTAATTACAGCCGACTATGAATGTAAATCCATATCAAAGTACTAAAGATAGTTTGAAAGTCACTTCATTCAGTTTTTTGCCGACTGCGGATGGTAACTAACCCACAGCGGCTTTGAAAAATCTTTCAATCAGATATTTCATAGATCTCTATAGTTAAAGTGTTGCGAAAGCAAATATATCAAAACATCTATTAAATTTCTGTTCTATTCTTGTTAGACTAGTTATCTGATGATATATCAGTTGTGGTAGAGTGGAAAAAAATGGATTTTGGAAATAGAAAAGGAAATGGGTAAGAAAGAAAGGGAAATGTGAACATTGATTTTCTTTACTGAAAAAATAGACAACGCGCGCGCGTGCTGTGTGCAGTTATAAAGCACGCGGGGATCGGCAGAACACGAGAGAAGTGTTGGAGAAGTACGACGCGTAGGGAAGTGCTTCTCGACACTTCTCGAGTGTTTGCCAATCCCCAAGTGCTTTATAAATGCACACAGCACATCAAGTTTATTTCTTTGATAAATTGCAAAGGGCGCGTGCGTGCTGTGTGCTCTCATAAAGCACGTGCTCCCAACCAATCAGAATGCGCTATATTTAACAGTTATTTAGTCATGCAGTTTCTGATATTCTGCGAAGTCAGTAGTTGCAAGATGCATGCTCATGCTAAAGTTGGGTTTTTCCCTGTCAGCTTCAAGTAATACGATTTTACCCTGTATATGATAAATCTAATAAGAATGAGGCCTACCAACTGGATAATCGTAATCACATGTTTTCAAAGCATTGTAAAGTATTCTTTCTGTCAGGGTTCATGCTACTCCTTGAAATCCTAAAAAAGCCCTAGAATTCAAAAACCATTTTTAAGTGCACTTGAAAAGCTCTTGAAAATAGCTTTAAAATAACTTTACTTAAAGTCATAAAGGTCATTAAAAAATGTGTTATAATTAGTTTTTTTAAAAATAAATTGTTAAGAAGAAATTGCCAAACAAAACTGATCCCTGATAATCGTAATTTTGGACCTTGAAATGTCCTTAAAACGTCCTTGAATTTTGTGGTGGAGATGCAGCACGAACCCTGTTGTGTTCCAGTATGTTTAACTTGGTTGGAATTAATAGTTGTAACCCGTACCAAATAGCAGCAAAACCAACAACAATAATCCAGATCATGTACTGGGAACACTACTTTTAAAGTTTTGAAGAAATAGAAAATGGCACATGCTGTGTAGTTATAAAGCACGTGGGGATTGGCAGAACAAAACAAGAGAAGTGTTAGAAGCATGATGCGAAGCGCTTCTCAACACTTCTCCAGTGTTCTGCAATTCCTCAAGTGCTTTATGAAATGGCACACATGCTGTGTGTAGTTATAAAGCATGTGGGGATTGGCAGAACAAAACAAGAGAAGTGTTAGAAGCATAATGTGAAGCGCTTCTCAACACTTCTCCAGTGTTCTGCAATTCCCCAAGTGCTTTATGAAATGGCACACATGCTGTGTGTAGTTATAAAGCATGTGAGGATTGGCAGAACGAAACAAGAGAAGTGTTAGAAGCTTGATGCGATGTGCTTCTCAACACTTCTCCAGTGTTCTGCAATTCCCCAAGTGCTTTAGAAGTACACATAGCACAGTAAGCAAGTTTTTTATTTCTTTTATAAAATACAAATTAGAGTTACCGTTATTTTGAATACAAATGACAAAATAGAAAGTGTGTGCATGTGCTGTGTACTCTCATAAAGCAAGTGCCCACATCCTATCAAAACTCAAGATTCATAACAGGTATCTTATAAAAGATAATATTAAACCAGACAAATCAAAATGGAAAATTCTCAGTTTCGAAATAACCACTTAGCTTCGGCACTAATTAAATTTATTGGAGTGACAGAAAGTCTACAGCCCTGCAAGATTTAACTAAATTTTATAAAAATCTCACTACACATGGGCATTAAATTAAGTAGTTGCTATGGAAAGCAAAGTCATGCAGAACTTTGCCTGGCCCATCAACTTGTCCTGCTGCTAAAAATTCATGCAAAGCTGGCTCCTCAATATCTTATTGAAAACTGGACAAGTTTTCTCATAGTTACAATACTAGAAACTCTTCTTTATTTAGACTACCTAAGCTTCGAATTAACGATTAAAAGGAACATTTTTCTACAACTCAATTAATGATTATTTATCAAACAACTTGAAAATAGATCCATCTATCAATTTCAAGAATGCTAGAAAGGTATATCTATCATCCATTAGGGAATCATGGAATCAATGTGGTAACACTTCACTACTTCACAAGGCGGCAGCCATCTTGAATATTTGCAAGTCATTATGGATCACCTTTGGGCAAATCAAAAGAAAGATTCTGAAATGACAACACCACAGTCTTTGAGAAATGTGCTCAGTTGTGGAACTATGATGCAATATATGCCATATTCTTTAGTACAAAGATTATGAGTTGCAAATACAGTTTGAGGGTCTGTCTCATTTTTATGCCTTGCGATTGAAGATAGTCTATCGTATAGTCAAAATAGAACATTAGATTCTTGTTTTAAGATGTATTATATGCCACATTCTTTAGTACAAAGATTATGAGTTGCAAATACAGCTTGAAAGTCTGTCTCCTTTCTACTCCCTCCTGAAATTCCCTTCCAACTCATTATGAGGGCTAAAGACACAGTTGCTCAACAAAAAATGTCTGGCCAAATTGGAATTTCACCAGGACAAAATCTTTGCCTTGCCAGTCATTTTGACCAGTAAGTTTTGACCAGGTATGAATAAAATTCTTGAATAAGCAAATATCAAAAACAAATCCCCGTCTAACAGCTCACTTTGACTTCACAGCTTCTTTTTCTCTGAGTTCGAAGACCTTATCAGCAAAATCAATAGCTTCTTTTGAAGCCTCGCACTTCTCCTTCCATGACTCAGGTATGGCTTGAAGTCCCAGATAAGCCCCAGAAATTGCTCCTGCCATACTGGCAATGGTATCAGTATCACCACCAAGTGATATTGCAAAGTGAATGCATTCTTTAACTGAGTCTGTACCCTTGAAAAGGAAAGCAAAAATTGCAGCAGGGACAGCCTGTTCAGCTCTGATTCCATTGCCAAAGGTTTCCTTGACTTTCTGGCTGGTTATCTCCTCCATGGGTAGAGAAAGTAGAGTTTTCATCTCCTTGAGCTGTAATTCATATGGAAACGAAATCCTAAAGAAATGAGAAAAAATTGGAAAAGTAACAGCAATAATTATTTGTCGATTGATCCTTTGGGAGTTTTGTCCTCTTACAAATTTGGGCCAATCACAACAAATCTTATTGAGAGTTCGTCAGTAACAAATAAGCTAAATAATCTGGATATATTCTAAAGTACAGTAGACAAGCAACAGACATTGGAGCTCACATGCTAGTGACGAAATAGAGGCTGTGAATCTTTAATACTTATTCTGTTTCAAGTGCGTTGGCTACTTCAGCAAGATCATCAATATATTTGTTCTTATCTATATTTGGTGGTTCAATGACCAAAGCATTAAAGACAGGTCTAGATTGGGTAATGGCTAATATAAATACTTACTTTGTTTTGAGTATTTCGGCCACTTCAGCAAGATCATCAATATATTGGTTCTTATCTAAATTTGGTGGTTCAATGACCAAAGCATTGAAGACAGCTTGAGCTTGGATAATGGCTCCATTGACACCATTTATATGAACATGGGTGATCTCAGCACTGCGTCTTGCATACTAGGGAGTATATATCAATACATTTATACCAACTGAAATACTTGTGAGTAATGCAGCTTAGCATTGGTAATAGGTGTGTGTAATGTTTATAAACACTGCCATAGTGATGTAAATGTGCCAAACATTTTTACATTAGTTTTTCCCACTTTCTTTTATTGGACTGTCAATAGATCTGGTTGGCAATTTTAAATAACAATCATCGTACACCTGCCAATAGCTTCACAACAGGCCACTTTTGAGTTTGAGAAACAAGGTGCATTGTGGTCTTGCTTGGGTAAAAACAACAACATATGAGCAAAACAGGTTTATAGACCCTCTAAATAAATCCCACAGTGCTTTATTTTCCACGTCTGACATCAAATTTATTCTTTTATTGTCAAATTTATTCTTTTTAATTTCATTTAAAACAAATAAATTTCAAAAACAATGAATTGGACGTCAAACACAGCATATGAGGCATGGTGGGATTTATCAAAAGAGTATATAGTGAAGCTAGACGAGGGTGCACCTTACGGGTCTCAGGAAAAAAGGTCTTTGGTATATTTAGTATATTGAAAAGAAAGAGAGAGAAAAAAAAGGGAGGAAAATGCACAAATAACAAGTTTTCTAAAGAATTGTCTAAATATTTTTATAAATACCTCTATCAGACTTGCTGAATCCTTACTGTACAAAGCAATGGGTGATATCCTCATTGCTGCACCGTTGCCATAGGAACCAGTTCCATCAAACTGTTCTCTTGCAGGTTGTCTAAAATCCTCGACTTTATCTTTCAACTTTACGAAAACCTCTCGTACTCTTTCTCCATACCCTCTATTGGGCTCCTTGAAAAACTCCTTGCTGAATTCATAAGCCATATGCTCATCATCAAATCCTTGCTTCTCTATCAAAGACTTACAGATTGCTCTAGTCATGGCTGTATCATCGGAATAAGTAATACTTCCTGGTTCTACTTGTTCTATCTTCTTGGAAATTATATCTTTAACATGTTCGATAGGAATAGGAATAGAGGACACTCCTTCAAAGAAACTTCCAAGACAATCTCCAGCTAAGGCTCCAACCAGAGATCCTCGGAATTTGTCTAACAATTTTGCCATATGTACTATTTTTCAAAAGAATCTTTAAAAGGCTTGCATTTTCTTTTCTCCTCAAAAATTTGAAGGACGAGAATGCCTGGATCGAGTCTACCCAGGATCCTTCATTCTATCCCTTGATGCTTTTCGGTCATTCCAAAATGGTCGCCGTCTTGTGAAGATTTCGCGCAAATTTTCAAAACCTTTTAAGGCCTTTTTTTTATGGTTTTCCAACGTCTAAGGCTCCGTTCAGCATGCTTTTTTGTCACCTTGGAAGAATTTTAAGAAGAACTCAGTGGAATTGTACTCTCAAGGTGAGTCGTACGACCATAAGTAGAAGCTCTGCAAAGTTTTCAAACAGCGATGCTGGGTTCTGCGAAGCACTTGATTGTATAAAAACTAAACTAGAGCCTTTGAAAAAAACTCAAATCTTTCTTGGAACGGGACAGTATTATGCCCACGAAGCAAATGAGAGGATTGTAGTGCTGTCTTTAGGAGAAAGTGGTTCATTGGATGCGCCATTGGAGCTCCTTGACACAGGGATCCCGTCAGAAGATATACACAAACTAGAGAAAGAAATCATAAAGCTTCCCCAATGCTCACTTCTGGCATCTGGAGAAGTTGACAGTGTTCATGAAGAGCCTTGGAATTTTGGTTTTATCAGGAAACCTAACTTTTCCATCTTTTGTAAGTTTGGGTATAATGTTATTATCAAAGAGCTCAATGCTGGTCCTGCCTTTAGAGTCTTTAATGGCCCTTTATTTGAAGATGTTTATCTCCGAAATGTCATGAATTTGCAAATTAAACTATCTGAAGAACCTTGGCATGAAAGGAAGTTAGAACTTTTAGTTAAAAATGGAGAACCATTGACAGTCCTTGAAGATTTGAGAGAAGAAGGATTGAAAGACCTTGGGGAGGTTATGACGTCGACGGAATGGATGGTCAAGGCAGCTGGATATATGTGTCTTATGGCAAGGCAGATAGGAAATAGTCCCAGGGTGTCTCTTAGGCTGCCGGAGGAGTTGCGAGCTGATATGAATCCATGGGTCGATCTCAGAAATAAGGCATGGATTGATAGAATCAATGATGATGAAGAGAAAGCAAAATAGTTCAGATCTTGACTCAGTAGTAAACAGATTATTTGTAAACTAATTCAGATTTGTCTCGTAATATTTTATAATATATAATGTTTATAAACATTGATATTGTGATGTTAATGTGCAAACCATTTTAACAGTGTTTTTGACTTTGCTTTATTGGATTGTATAATAGATTTATGCATGGCAATTTAAGAAAATCAACCAAAATAAATTATGTCATTGTACTCCCTTGGTCTGTGACTATGTTCTGATACCTTTACACTAAACACTACCTTAGCAAACCTTATAATTATTATATACACAAATATCACTTGTTTACTTTTCATAATTCAATAGAAATTGTTTCAAATATGGGATACTGTTTATACAAAGAATTTGAACATCTTATTTCAATTAATTATTTTGAGATAGCCATTACTTCAGAAAACTTATTTTTCCCCACTTCATACTTTAGTATTCAAGTGCCTATCACCCTTCTGACAATATTCTCAGTATTGATTCTACATGGGGTAAGATGTTGAATAACTCGAAAAAATTACATAGTTTGAGTGCGGCTTCTTGAAGTTATGAAGGTTTTTCCATGTCATATGCTAATGCTGTGACGTATGAGGAGGCATTTATGGTCATTTGTTGTTCCTCGTAATTCGAAACACTGGCTTCTATGGGAAAACTAACTTGCAATCATTTCTATAAGAGCAATGGGGAAAACAATGACGTATTTCAAATTTAATTTATCTGTACCAGTAGTGTTTTGTATATTAAATGATTACTCCTCATACGTCACAGCATTAGCATATGACATGGAAAAACCTTCATAACTTCGAGAAGCCGCACTCAAACTATGTAATTTTTTCGGGTTATTCAACATCTTACCCCGTGTAGAATCAATACTGAGAATATTATCAGAAGGGTGATAGGCACTTTAAAGGAAAGAAATACCTGTTATGTTTTAGGCCATAAGGGACAGGGAGGCTTAAACATTCTTTCTCCCACCACATACTTGAGTACAAAGGAAAGAAAAATATCCCATGTTTTAAGCCATCAGTGGGGGTGGAAAGAGGGCTCAAAGTCAGTGGTATAATTTTTTTTTTTTTTTTTGCTGGGGCAAGGGAAGGTTCAACAGTTCATGTAGTTTTGAAAAAACACGAGTGCACGATTGTTGAGTACCATGGGACATTTAGGGACACTATCATATGGCTCACTTCAGCACATAAAAATGCTTAGAATGTTAATAACCACTTTTTGAAAATATTTTCCTCTTCATTTTCTTGGTTGGCTTGATTTTCATAAGGTTGTCTGTGTGCAGAAAATCTGTGTCTTTTTTCTTCATTCATTATCATTTAACGTTTCTGCTGTTGAAGCCGACGAAACTGTCGCACATGTTATTCAGCAAATTCTCAAACGTCCTTTTTAACTCTTCCTTAAAACATTATGTGAACAATCATGTTGAATACTTCCGTTAAAATAGACAGAAAAGGGGGAAAAAGTCACCATTAGTGAATGTAAATATCAGAACCGGAAAATCCATCTTTAAAGCAAACATCCCGCTTTATTTTGATTCTGTAATGATGACGAGGAAACCCTTAAAGTGCTAAACATACCAATTATTTGACTCCATTTGTAACATTCCAACATGCATCAACGGTATACATCCTCCACATTCAATCGTAGGCCTTAACAGGCTAATCGATGTTAGTGATTATTATAATTTTAGTGGACATTTCCTTGCATTATTTTAGCTACTATTGTTCTTTAAAAAACACGCAAGGTTAGGCTTAGTTTGCACAGGTCTTTAACAGATCCATCGTCTTTTGGTCATTTTTTAAATATCAGTCAAATTTGACGATAATCGAAATTGCTCTGATTATTCTTGGATTTAAAAATATTTTTATTGGAAAAAATTCAAAAATTGATCGACATGTGTTGTACGTGCGCGCAAAATGCTGTACCGTAGAGCAAAAAAAATCGTTAAACGGCAAAGGTTAAGAGAGGTTCAAAATCAGCAATGATCACTTTTCCTCACATTTATATATACCTTTAAAATATATCTTAAAAAAGAGATTTTTAGTTAGTTTTTATTGAGTTATATAATGTTTTCAGTATTGAAGCGAATTAGAGCCGAATACATTATAGTATTATCTTTATATAATGTCCAGATATTTCCAGATTAAATATGCGTTAATCCCCAAGACATCATTCAAATGGGATCAATATTTATAAAGAATATATAGATGGATTAAGATCCCCTGTCGTGCAAATGGTCTGTTAATCTTCTCCTCAGTCATTTAAAAGTGATTTGTACTGTAGCAAGCTGAAACTGGCGTTTTGGTGTGGTATGAATCACATGATACGGATTTCATGTACGTGTTGTACTGCACAACTTAGATTTCTGGCCGTTTGATTGTTAATTGTCTTCTCTATAGCCTAGGGTACACCTACTTCATCGCTGTCATGAGTTCGACGCTTATGGGGAGGGAAGATAAAAAAGTATTATAGTCGCAATACTGTGCCGTTTTTAAAATCACTCCCCCCCCCCCCCCCCAAAAAAAACGTTTATTGAAAAGTAAGGGGGTGGTATGGTGAAATATTTCAGGCAGTATATGGGAAAATGTTTAAATCCTTTCGATTTTACTTTGTTATTTAAAGAAATTATTAATTTTTTCGTTAACTCAGAATTTCTCAATTGACTCAAACGGTTGTTCACCATTTCCGCTACCGTCATTTATAGTGTAACGCCCATCACGTAGGAGCTACAGAATCACACAAAGTGTTGCATCGATATTTTCTAAATAAACAGAGCCATTTTCAAGCTTATCCTTTTCCTTGAGCAATAGTTTTTATCTTGATGCACAGCAATGTCTCCTTGTATTTTGCGCAATATATAATCGTATTTTAATTGCGCGACAATAGTTTTTTCCCTTCAAGCTGAAACGTTCGTGACTTATTGAATAAGATTACATGATAATTTGCGGTTAGTTCTCAGGTGGAGAATACCTTCGACTACTTTATCGACAAAGTGATGTGTGACTGAACTCCATCGTTTATTTTTATGCTACATCTTTTAACTTTTGCTCTACTTTCTTAGGTTCGCGTAAATATTTCGATAAACAGTTTGCGCAAATGTATTTAGTGTTGTTACTGATTCTTGATTGAATGAAATATGGAACTACGGTCATTCTTAAATAGTTCAACTTTGAGCGCAACTTCTTCTTCTTTTGTTTTTTTTTTTGACCGAAAAAATTGTTTGAAACATTTACGTTGAATCACATCCCTGGGTAGTTATTTCAAAATCCAAATCTTTTATTTTGTGTGATGCCTTTCTGCCAAAGTGTCAATATCAGACCCCCCGTAAGTGCTCGCTTGGCTGAAAATCCCAGGTTTTCGCTCGTTTTTTTTTTTCTGCTAGCGAGTTTATCTTGACGCAAGCTTACACAAGCGAGAATTTATTTCAGTTAGTGTTATCAAATCAGAAATAAATTACAAGCTATTCCGAGTTGTATTGAGCTTTCGTTATTTTGTTTTCAGGGTGTCTTTTGAGTCGAAATAAGCGTCAAAACCAAATACAATTGGCTGAGATTTGGTCTAGAGACAGATTAAAAGTATAAAAAAGCACAGGTAAGCTTTGAGTATTTGTTATTCAAAATTTCATACCAATAATGTAAGACTAAAACTCCAGCTAATTTTTGGTTTGTTCGGCTTGGGCTACCTGTGTGGTTTTCAGTGTTAGGGCTACGTGCTATCGCGACATGGGCGTTAGCAAAGTGCTGATGGCGCTAGATTGATCTACTATTTAAATCTCTTCCCAGTTATGCAGCAAGGTTTCTACGCAGAGCATTTCACAATCCCTTTAAACCAGAAAAAACCTTTCAATGCGAGTATGGGATACACTACCGGACTTTCCTTCCTGCTTAGTCACCCCCCCCCCCACCCCCACACACACACCCCAACCCTTCTTCTGCCCACCCCTGCCGGTTGATCGGTCATAATGTTCGTGAAAGGCAAAAATTATCGGATTTTGGTATCTATTATAATCGAAATTGCGCCAACGTTTACCTCAACACCGCAACTTGACTTAAACCCTGCATTCAAATTCACACTGAATTCATACTTTTCTGCCTAATTTGTTCGATTAGTAAACATTAGATTCCATCACTTGCGCATTGGCAAACCACGTAATTCAAGTAAATAAACTGAGGCAAACATCGGCTTTGCGCTCAGCTCAGATATTCTAACTTCCTTCAGTTAAAACTAAGTCGACTTTTGAATAACTTCAAAATGTTACCAATCTAGTGTGACCCTTTACTTCCCGAAGGGACGTTGGCCACCCCTCATGACTCAGTATTAATTACTTTCGATCATGCTTTTTTTCTTTTTTTTTTTCTTTTTTTTTTTTTTTTCATGCTTTTTTTCCCCCATTGCCAAAAAAGTAACTTATTTACAATGAATTTATGATAACTTATCTAATAATAGAAGCCTTCTTTGATTAAGTGTTTCATGCGAAGGTGGAATAGTTTTTGAGTGCTCTCTTTTAATCTAATGAACATGAATAAATTTAATCCAGAAAAAAACAGGTTATAAATATATCTTTATAATTTAATTGCTGATGACAGCAACCGCTGGTCAGTATGTATTTAAACCGAAGGCACGTGACACGGATCCCGGGATTCGAACGTTTCACTAGGGTAGGATGGGGATCTTTTGAACCGCGAAATAATGCCTTTGTTAAAAATAGAACAATTTGCGAGTTTCATGTCTTGACTTAGCACTTTACAGGTTTTCCGGTCAATCACCGAACATAACCAATAAAATCATTGGATACTGAATTATAACGGGCACGGGGCTTGTCAGAAGCCTTATTTCCTGTCGAGACACTCAGATCAGATCATAGTACTTAAAGGGGTTTAGAGGTTGTAATTAAAATAGTTGTGAGGCTGAGCGACAGTAATGGGACTACTTAGCTAATGCTTCCAATAATATTCAAGTTAAACAACAGAACTAGTTGAGTAGAATTGTAGAACTGATCGAGAAAGAAAACGCTGCTCTCCATTTGGTAGGATGCAAACCAGTGCAAAACTCATTTGTAATGAAATATTGATTAATAATGGTTGTCGTCTTGTTATCGAGGGACGGGTTGGACAAGTGATTTTCGACATGCCATTTTCAAAGTATAATTTGAATCTCTGTAAATATGTCAGTGCAAGTCCTATACTGGAAATGATTATGAATTCTTCATTTACAAAAGGGTATTTTTTAGTCTAATTGTACGATTTTGTAACAATATTATCTTGCCCCGAATGTCAAACAAATATCCGGTAGTGCAGCCTTACTGGCGCCATAACATACACAAGCTTCGGTCACTCCACATTGGACGAGATTAGCTATTTGGATTGGATGTACATAAATGTGTACTAAAGGGTCAGTTCAATTAACAGGGTGACAGACACTTACCTGTCCCCTCCCCCCTCAGCAACCCGGGGTCGAGGAGATAAGCGGATGCAAGTGCAAAAGGATTGAAATACAGGAAATGAAATGGGAAATTAATGATCCCTTTTTATGCATTCGAGATCGATCTTTGATCTGGTCTTTGGTATCATCGATGGTGGCCGTTTAAAATTTTTTAAAAAAATTATCAAAATTTGACAATATTTTTGTGTTGTCGTCTCAGAGTAACAGAGCACTATGCCACAAACCTAGTTATAAATATTTGGCTTCGTTTGTAAGTAAGTATAACTAAAAAAGACTTAAAAACTGCCAAAATTGCTACACGAATTAAATTCCTCGTAATTTGATGTAAAAAAAATGACCATTCGATCTGCTGACTCGGCTGTTTTTTTGTTTTAGTTTTAATTTAATAAAACGTTATTACGACTAAGTGAAAAGAGTCACTTAAAACAATAGTTATTGTCTCTTAATTGTTCGAGCATTTCAGCACATTTCAATTAACTTTTATTATTATTTTTGTCCAGTAAAATTGCTTTCTCGATTTTTCGCATTAACTAAGAAAAAAATTCTTAAAGGTCAAATTCAGTTTGTACTACGAGATCTTTCTTGGATTAAGAGGTTGTTTTACATCGTTATATTTATCGCCCTTTAAAAACGAAAGTGTCACATAGCCTGTACTCCATTACCAATGTAAATGGTTCGGGATCCACATTCATTTGGATGGAATATGAGCTGAGCAGAGAAGACAGGAAACAACAGTCTGAACGGCTCTAAGCCGATGTGAGATATCTTTCAGCTCAGATATGATTACCTTATGTGTTTTATGTCCTGATAGAAAGGCTTTATTTACGATTCAAAGAAAACACCGAGGTTTATTTTGATTAGTATTCGATTGCTTTCCCTATTTCTACAGCTAAGACGTGATCATATCAACACCTTAATTTATCTATTAGTTTTCGAATCTTCTGCCCATTTTGTGAAAACCGCAAAGGGTAACACCAGAGACCTACGTGTAATCTAATGCTTACGTGCTGTAACGGACTTTTAGAATCAGTTCAATCCTACCTCTTTTGTTCAAAACCACCGGCCCTGAAACTACTATTTTTACTCCCACACAACGCTCACTTAAACTCTAATACCAAATGACGTAATCGTTTTTCAACATTACGGGCTTTTTTTCCCGATTGAACTTTTTATTTCATCTGCTATTTTGGTTTTCACGAAAATCTGATGGCTCAAATCGATGCTGGTCGGCGATGACAAGGCTAATGTCAGGTCCCAAGAGGGCATTAAGTTCATGTGCGGTTTGTAAAGCAATCAACCAATCGTAGATAATAAGTTGCTGTCATCTGTCATCTGTAACTGGGTGGGAACATCCGGAGTGTGTTGGAGTGCTTTGTCTTGTGTTTGTATAGCCTATGATTTGCATCTTAATCTACCCCAACAAGATATAATGAGAGAACACTTAATGGGCTTTCGAGTGTCATTCTGATCAACTCCTTTGTCTTTCTTCGTGTACCTTCATTCCAATAATCAAAGTTTAGGGTCCAGAATGGGCAGAAAGACCCAACAAGCCAGGTTTTCAAAGAGTTTGGCAAGCGACGAGTGATTAAAAGTGACGTCAGCTGTCATTTCTACCGGAACTGGCAGAGTTCAGCATACCGCTACTTCCGGTTAATACAGTTTTATCACAAGAAGGGCTCGAAGGTTGGATTACAATAGAGAGAGAATAATCAGGTTGAGCGAAATAAATTACTCAAACAAACCAACACAAAAGGACGCAACAGAAAGGGTGAAGTTTTCGAATCATTTTAATGACTAGTTAACCGAGACTTATTAAATTGCCAGTTACGCAAGACAAAGTCCTCTCAAGAGCGGCTGAAAAACATTCGTTCAAGTAAACATTCCGACAGATCGCTGATCAGGATATTTCAAGGATACATCAGTTGATGTGGACACAAGCTTTAAAATCCCTCTTTGAGTCATTACTGGAAGCTGCGCCCCAGTTTTATTACAGTGCTGTACCCCGGTGCCATCACATCAATGGACTGCGATTGGGAAGTCAGGTTTTGTCATCATCATTGGTTTTAAACCAAGGAAATTCGCGGGAAAGTGTGGTTTAGAGAAGAACAAGTGATTGGCACAGAACATAAAGGAAACGAGTTTCGCAAGGCCGCTCATCGGAAGTTCCACGCAAGCTAAGAGGGACCAATCCCATTATAATAAACCTCTCTCTACGCGATATTCATTTATTCCTTTCAGTAATTTCCGTGAAAACCGTCACTTAAGCAGAGATACATTTCTCGAAGAAACATCACTAACAACTTGACTACGAACACAATTGCACCTCAAATCTCTCGGTTGGGGTGAGTGAACATGAAAAGTGAAAGAATCAAAGGGCTTTCGTCAACGCCGAGTTACAATTATTATACGTCGTTCTCAGTAAAGACATTACCACGAGAAAAAGACTGTACGGATTTTTCGACTACTACGACTGATGAAAGTGATGTTGAGGAATACTATCCATTTGTTATTGGACGAGGGAAATCGTTCCAAATAGTTGATCCTAAAGTTTATAAGCAACTTCGTAAAAATAATATTCGTCAATCTAAAAATATTCGTATCGCGGACTGTGCGAAGAAAACATCAACAAAGTCAAAGAGTACGGAGATCAAATCTAGTGTGACCAGTGAGAGCGAAGACGAGTATTGCGAACTTTCGGCGCTTTCAAAATCGCCGGCACCTTTGCTACCGCCGAGAAAACTCACACAAGTTCATAAAGATTATCCTAAAGACTCTGTGAAAACTGTTACTGGTTTTGAAAAACGACGTCAAAATGAATATTATGACCCAAAACAGTGTATGGTGCAGTTTAATTCTAATTCTTCGACCGTGACAACAAACGTTGTCAGCTCAGCTGATGTACTGAAAAAAAGCTCATGGAAGGACCATAGTGAAAAAACTATCGAACAAGAGGACTGTTATGAACCCTCAAGGAAATGCTTTTGTGGACTTGACACAGATGAGGCTGTGGACTATGCTACGTGTATGTGTTGTGTCAAAGGATTGTTTTATCATTGTACGAAGGATTCCGAGGATGAGGGCCGAATCGCTGATGACCCTTGCTCTTGTAGCGGACCTCTGAAAACATGTATTCCACGATGGGGTTGCTTGGCTGTGTTTTCTGTGTTTTTACCCTGTTTATGGTGCTTCTTACCCATAACGGGATGTCGGAAAGCAGCCAAATGTGTTTCTTGTAAGAAAAAGAAACAAAAAAGCAAATCCCCAAAAAATGGAACGAAAAACCTTGACTTCATAAGTCAGAAACAGCGACAATAATAATGGTAATTTTTATAAAATCGTTAAATTGTAATTGGTAATTTTATTAGAAATGAACAACATTCAGCGTAATTGTAGAAAAAGTAATGTCAAGAAAGACAATTCTTATTAGATTTTTTTTCTAGTTTTTTTAAGGTATCGATCTAGATTGAATTTTACTTGTTGTTGACAGCTATCATTGTCAAAATGACTTTTCTATTTATCAAAAGAACTGTCAGTAATTGAAAAAGTATTTACACAACACGCTGATAGATATAATTTATGTAAAGAAGGCTTAAAGAAGGTTTCAGTTGATTTTTAAGCGTCTTTTAGAGTTTCCGAGATTTAATTCATTTGATCAAAATTTTTTGATAAAAGCTGAAATGAGGGAAAAGGGACTCGTGTTTATAATTTTGAAAAAAAATCGCTACCATTTTCAAGTTCTTATTCTAATCCTGAAAATATATGTAAATAGGCATTTTTATATCAAAACGTTAAGTTATATCAGGATATAATTTATACTATCGAGTAATCATATATTTATAAGAATACAAGAAAATAACAGTGCTATCGTCGCACTTTGGAATCATTTATTTTATTAGTTGAACAAGTCAATAACCCAGAAAATCCCTATGGTGTATTATTGTTGGCTTCAAAAGTATAGATTATTTGATATCAAGATATAGAATTAAATTCAATATAATATTAAACATTTCAGTTATTAATATTTGCCTGTGGCTTCATTTTTATCCTTCTCTGCGCGTACTCGTGTTTGCCCGACACGTGTTGAAGAGCAAAGAAAATATATTTTTTATTTCCAATAAGAATATTGCCCGTGGGATGGCTAAGCCGTTGGAAATGCAACAAGATTGTAGGTTTCACTTAATTTTATTCCCAGACTCAACTGTGTCTCAATACTTTGTTTTCCTTCGTATGCGTGCTGATTAATGCCTTATTTCAGAGTTCCGGCACTTGCGGAAGTAGGAGGGACTTAGATCAGTAGGCCGGTTTGAAAGTCTGCCGACCGACATGTCTTTAGGTAGATACAACAGCGTGACGTAGACACAAGATGATACCTTGATTTCCTGATACGTATCACGAGATCCAATAAGCAATTATGAAATACCTCTACATTTTACTACCCCTCCCCATCTAAAAGTCTGTCCTAATTATCCTCCAATAATATTCCAAAATAGGCATTGATCTCTCTTTTCGTATCCCCCCATTATAATTTCCCCCAAAATTGTTTCCAAGTGCCACCTTTGGACTTGAGATCCAGATAACAGGCTCTGTATCTCAATAAACTTCCTCACGAGCATGAACTTTTTTTTCAAAGTTCAAAAAGAGCCGGAGACCTCTGTTTTAAATAAGCTTTCCCGTTTACGTTCATCAAGCGAAACACAACCCTTTGGGGTCATGCGTCTTTATTTCACTATCTCTTAGATTCATAAAATCTTGGACTTTTAGGAAGAATTAGCCCTACACAGACTTGGACCTACGTGTGATCCCTAGCAAATCCTATAACTTCATTATCTTTAGACTTCCTCTTTATATCATTGTAAGACTTTTTGAAGATAGAAGTTCGTCGTCTCGTGTCTTGTTAACTAGGGTTTCAACTGCCCTTCTATTCTTTTCTTTCCATTCTCTATAGGTGGTAGGCCCCTTATTTCCTCTAAACTTCATAGGAATGTCCCATGCCAACGGGAGCTGTACGCTTAAACTAATAAAACAACAGCAAAGGCTTGATTCAAAAAATAAACGTGGTCAGAAAAACGAAGACATCCGGACTCGAAAAGCCAACTGTAATTTCCGATATTGTTGGGGGTGTTTCTCAAATGACGCATTTTCTTGAACGTGTAGTGAGTCTACTTTTTGTTCGTTCTGTGTGAGGAAGGTAGTGGTAGATTCTCGAAGCATTCATCCGCTTTGTTTTGGGCGTCTCGGTTAAAGAATTTGCTTCCTTTCTCCATAGTTCTTTCTCGCGGCTGTATTTGATTTGTAACCAGTATTAAAACGAACACGCAATCTCGTTAATTATGACAATTCTTTTTTAGATAGATATATAGATAGACTTTATTTAAAGAGGGTAAACACTAAAAAGTGATAACACTTATAAACTTGTGGCCCTCACTTTTTCCCTTCTCTTTTCTATTATAGTATTATTATTATTATTATTATTGTTATTATTATTATTATTGTTGTTGTTATTGTTATTATTATTATCATTATTATTATTATTATTAGTAGTAGTAGTAGTACTTATACTATTATTATTTATACTTATTTTATAAGTGACGTTCGTTCATTGCAGTTCGTAACTTTGGACAGATCGTTTTCTAGAATTTTCATTTGAATGGATCAACAATCAATATGTATCCACAAAATCACAATATTGGATTGATTTAAGTACACAAGAGGAAGAAAAGAAAAAAATACAGAATGCAGAAAACCGCAAGAGTGTACGTAGAAATTCGCTTGAAAATATTTTTAGAACATCTTTCTTTATTGTTTGACATCATCTCTAACACATGGGGGTATTGTTAAATTTACTTTATTCCTAATGAAACGTTTCCATTCAATATTTACCCGCACTCGGTAGAAATGTCGCTTGTCAGCATTTCGTAACTATGACCTTGGTTGATAAAGGCATTTTACGAGGCGAGTTGACAGCCGGAAAGCCAATCATTAACTCAACCTTGAACAGCTTTTTCTGCCGGAAAACGAACGATTTTTATTTTGAATCACTTCTCTTCCAACGAAGAAACCTAATAAGTCTGGAATGTAGGACCTTTTAGGAACTACTTTTCTCGAGATTCCAATAAAACCCCAATAAAACAGGCAGTGACTAGATCTTCAAAGAACAGGAACAAACTACGTGGGCGAGGCCTCTCATTACATTTGATTTATTTGTTCCCGTCTCGGGCTTTAGCTGAGCTTAGTGCCTTTTCGAAAATCCTTAACTACCTCTCTAGTTTACAATAAAGATTTGCAAACAGTGTTCGTAGGCGCTAAATTTTTTTTGTTAATCTTTATTTTAGTTGCATCTTTTGGTGTTTATATCCGCCAGCTTGAGTAAACTTATATTCTCGTTCGCGGCCTTTGAAGTGCCTCTCCTGATAAAGACAGATAAGCGCTTAGGTGCAAAATATCTGGGTATCTTCTATAAACTAAAGCACGGTTGAAAGACTTGTAATTCAGCTTAGAAAACGGTAAGGCTTCAGTTCTAACTTTCGGCATACAATACGCCAAGCACTAGTAGCGACCGGTAGGAACATCATAGTAGTGACGCTATTCCAATATATATATATATATATATACAAACCACCAAATAAAGTACAACGAATATCAGCCAAAGATTTTATTTCAAGTGTTTGTAAACGATAATACGAGAAGGATTTATTTTATAGGTGCATTAAGAGTTGTTTGAATACCACCAAAGAGTATAGCTTGAAAATGGTAACGTGACCGAGAGAGTTTTTACATAAGAAGTCTCTTTCCTGGTGGCTACTAATGTCGTTTAGAAGGCCTTAAAAGGCTTGTATCTACCCGTTGACTTCTTCTACTGTATGAATAGCTATAGACTAACGGATAGAAGGAGTGTCTGGGCATGTTCCTTTAAACTAAGAAGAAACGTCTTTTTCATGCAGCCGAACTGAGTCATGCGAAGGGATCTGAGAGAGAAAAGGGTGAGTGTTCTAATATAAGATGCTTGGCTTTGGCTGTGTCGTCGACCGGATGTTGCTCGGTCTAGCCGCATCGATCTTTAATCTTTGGAGCTTATTAAAAGCAGAATCTGCTCTGAACGTTAAACACTTAAACTAACGTTCCTGAGATCTGGCAAAATACGGCCTCTTTTCCCCCCGAAAGTAAAGCAAAACGTCTTTCTATAGGATTCATCGCCGTTGTTTCTTGGCTAGTATACCATGCTATTCCTGTTTCTAAAAAGGACATTTTTCATAGAACTACGTTCTCTTTTTTTACTATTTTTACTTCTTTCTGTCCTGTTCTGTTCTCTCAAGCTGAACTTCCCTTGAGCGTCCAACCGCATCAATACTGTCTGTAAAACACACCTTGTTTTGGTGGGAAATTTCCCTTCGGATCTACAAGGAAATATTGCAGAACAATTACACGGAGTCTATTCAAAAGTTTGTCATCGTCAAGTCACGATATCATTCCTCACTCATCCCTATCCGTACAAATGACAGTTTCCACTCGAAACATCTTTCCGTCCGGCTCTGTAATTATGATCGTAACCCATAAAGGAAATGATACTATAATGTGTAACATACACTGCCCACCAAAATGTCCATTACTTTTGTTCATAAATATGGCATTTTCGTCAACTATTTTTGTCTGGAATTTGCCTGAGAATATATTCAAAGTTGTGGTTTTTAGTTACTTCCTCACAAAAGGTTGGACTATTTTAACTATGTTTCACATAATGTTTTAATCTGTAATACAAACTACTCGGTAAATGGACATTATTTTAATTGACTACAAACGATATTTGGTAAGATATCAGAACCCGGATTTTGATCGAATGAAAGTCTAAGTTTTCAATTGGTTCCGCGCGCAAGGTCGTGGTCAATACTACAAAATTCTACGAGTGCTTTGTATAAAAGGAAAGATTTGTCTGTTCCAAACGTTTTTCCAATAGTGTGCCTTGTCTCAGTTTGCTCCACGTTTTTTCCTTGTACCGAACTAATTAAATCACAGGTTTATTCATTAAAATTGACCAATAAAGTAAGCCAGGACAATTTTTATTTCATAGTTCATACCACTATATATGGTGATTGCAAATGAATTGGTCCCTACTGATTCCATTTTATTAAGTCTTCGGCGCCAATGTTTGACTCTCCTGCGTGGATTATAATCTGTCTGATTGAGTCTTTCCGATCTAGTAACCCTTGTGTACTGTACCACAGCCAATAGCACCTCGCGCGTGGTACAAGAATACCGCCTAGCAAGAACGAACTGTGAGAATTTTAGGGTGGCTGCCTTGTGAGTAGCTTGTATATAATGTACAGTCAATTTTAAAAAAAGTTGTCGTCGAACAGCTCAAGCCTACTCGACTGGACCGAAAGGAATATGGGTAAAAATCCGGCATTGAAGTGGTTAAATATTTGTTCCCGCTAGGCGAGAAACAGTCCATCAAATGCATGTCTTTAGGTTTGGGGAAAGAAAAACAAAATAGTTATGATTCAGTTCACAATTTCGAAAATATGAAGGCATTAAAAAAACGTCCTCCAACACTTGCCGCTCGCCTACGAAGGTTCGTGCTGTAAACCAGGCATAACTAGTCAGAAAAAATTATGGAGTCAACTCGGCTTCAATGATTGCTGCCCAGAGTTCCTTTCGGTCCAGTCGCGTAGGCTTGAGTTGGTCGACGACAACCTTTTTTGAATTGACTGTATATACGAGAGCAGAGAACGTAGCGTGATAGTAGCTTGATACTGACTTAGTAATAGAGTACAAACGTTACAAGTAACTGTTGGTCAATAATTATTAGGTTGTTGAGTCATCATCGACGTGGAAATTGGTTTCGTTGTACTGTTTAATCTGCATTACAAGAATAGTAACACTTTACAAGCACTACATGTGATGATTATATGTTAGACATGATTCATTGTGAACATACAAGGGCAGGAAACGTGGAAAGATTCCATGTGACAAGTAGGAGTGGTTACTGTGAGCCGCCCTGTAGTACCAGAATAGAAACAGTCTAAC